CTGGGTCCATATTCCGCGGCGACATCCTCCCAGGGGACAGCATTAAAGAGTGATCGATATTTCTCGGCGATAGCAGAGCTGTCTTTACCGGAGACAGCACATTCTGTTGGAACTGATTGTGCGAGAAATCGGCATATCTTGGGGAAGAAGAAGACGGGGGGCCCTCAGCCGAGAACATATCCTCGAGATTCGAAGGCATAATAAGAGTATTCGGCCCGAACGAGGCCCTACCCAAGAGATCCAGCTCCTCGTGAATGTCCCGAGCATTGAGCGACGAGCGCAAGCGGCTCGACTGGAGGCCGCCCCCGCCGCCGGTTCCCGGAAGGTGCAGCGGCGGCACATTCGCTGGAGCTCCCCACGGCCCTCCGGCAGCCACCGCCGAGGGGGAGATTGGCGGCGTGAATGGAGACGGAGGGTTAAACGGGAATTCTACGCTCGAGCGAGGGGAAGGCACGGCGGACCCAGTCGAGACGTATAACGGGCGGAGCTCGTCTTGCGCGTGCGCAAAGAAGCAGACACGCCGGGCACAGCCCAGCCCATCTTTACAAAGCCGGGTTCTGTACTGGGCCGGGTGGAGCCAGCATTCGAAGACCCCGTGTGCATACTCACACATATCCCCCCGCCTGCACGACCCTTTTCGAAACTCTGGACACGGCACGCAGCTGTAGTGGTACTTACGCGGATCCCGCCGCCGAGCATTCTCTCCCGGGTGGACAAACGGGCACTCAGTCCAGTCGTGCGAATAGGCCCGCGAGCAAGGTCGAACCTTGAACGAGAACATACGGAACTCGTCGGTTGAGTAAATGCTGTTCTTGATATCGGGCAGGGAAGGGTCGACCGGGTACTCTTTCCTCTCCGGGGCAGGCGTTTGGGCCCGGCCCAATTTCTCCCCATCCTCCGGCACCGGCGAGTTCGGGCCTTCGGGTTCATTTTCCTCGTCATCAGTCGCTAGCAGCAATTGGAGGGTACATTTCGTGCCGTGCGACTTTGGTGGAACAAAGATAACATCGATCGGGCGGCGACCATCGGCATCGGTCAGGTTGGGGTCAGCTCCGGCAGCCAGAAGCAACTGGACAGCTGCCGGAGAGTCGGGGGACCCGCCGGAGGCAGCACAGTGAAGGGCAGTGCTTTTGTCGGGCCCACAGTGACGGTTCACATCGACTTCTGGGGATGAGACGATGAGCTTCAGAACGTCGAGGCTGCCGTAAGTAGCGGCAACCATTAGTGGGGTCAAATGGTGTAACGCCATCTGACTCGAGCCTTTTTGGCGGCTGTACCAAGGGCCCACCGAGTCGATAATGGAGAGGTGGCGATCGACGAGGTCTTTGAATGCCAGCAGGTCATTGTTGGCGGCGAGCTCGAGCAAGCTGCCGAAGGAATCTTCGGTGTGGACGGTTGGAAGATTCGAGTTCATGTCTTTATTTGTGCTAGTTTGTTTGTCGTATGTTCTTCTCGGGAATAAAAAATGAGTAGATTGTGTGCAGCCGGATTATTCGGATGCTTTTGACGAGTCGAACTTGGACACGCGGCCGGTGTTTGAGAAAATAAATAGTAGCTGAATAGGGTAAAACATGAATGAAGACAAGTGTCAGATTGTGGAAAAAAGAAAAGGGAAGCAAAAGACAGCAGATATGCAGGAGAATTGATTAAGAATGTCCAAATTAGAGTGATCTGAAATTTATGGCTCAAAGTCCCTATGACAAAATAGAACATACTTGGTAAGAAAAAATTAATTTTCTTTTTCATTGATGATAAACTGAACAAAGGGGAGGCTAAATTCACACAGCAGCTGACCATAAAATCCAAGAAAAATATTTGATAACATGTACATGTAAAGTATAAGAGTAAAAGCAATGACCTGAGTTATCGATTTTTAAACTCGAATACATATCGTCCGACAATCAAGACAAGCAAAAGATACTTTTGGAAGCTACAGACATACATGGTATCTACTCACAGATCTAGTGAATGAGGTAAAAAGAGAGAACATGCAAAACAACAGGCCAATTTATTTACTTTGGAAAACCATACAAGCATCACTATGGATCCTCCAAAAGATAGACAACATAAATAAAGTATCCTCAGTTCATAATTTTCTTACTAAATTGTGAACAAATTTTATCACTAACCAATTCACAAATCACAATACTAAATCAATTTCCATAGGAAGGTACAGGGAGAACAGAAAACCAAAAACTTCATAAAGAAAAATTATTAAAATTATTATTCACATTAAAAAGAAAAAGAAAGACCAAGAACACTCAGAAGCCCTGCATCATGCATGCCCAATATCTCAAAGTCTAACTCAATCACTTTCTCAACACACAGACAAAGCAAACAAACATCAAGATCGAAACTTTATAACTCACAAAACATATACACACACCACTGCACATAAACCACAGACTATTACATGCCCAAAACACAAACTCCCAGTTCAAAACATACACAAGCAGAAACCTCAGCAGATACAAATTGAACAAACAAACAAATAAAAACAAATAAATAAACTAACTTTCTCACCACTTAATTTCAGAATCAAGAAAATTACACTGAGCCCACCAGCAGCAGCGAAGGCAAAAAAAGCTTCAATCTTTAATATGCCCACAAAATCTTTTCAACTCATTTTGCAGATAAATTGTTAGATTGAGCGGTTTTATTTATATGGGCAGGCTTGATTTACAGATCTAGAGAGAGAGAGAGAGGGTTGAGAAAGTTATGACAACATGAACATAGGGAAATTCTTGTTCTCCTCTCTTTTTTTCTTCGCCATTTCCTATGTTAATGTTTTGCTCTCTCTCTCTCTCTCTCTCTCTCTCTCTCTCTCTCCTCTCTCTTTTTTTCCCTCTCTCTTGTAATAAAAAGTTTTTTGTTTTTTCCTTTATTTTTTTTGGTTCTCCTTTTTCTAGCATAATAAATAATACCATAGTTAAATAGACAATTTTTGTGTAAGTAATTAAATACCATGATAAATTGGAGTCATTAAACCCGTTTTTGCTGTGAAGCCAACAGTTAGCTCCATAGTGGAGCCAACCTTCTATATACAACAAGTAAACTTATCGTGTTCTTTAATTACATAAATAATACTAATATAATTTTATTAATATGGTAGGTTTATTTGTTATATATAAAAGGTTAGTTCCATTATAGAGCTAATTGTTTGCTTTATAGCAAAACCGAAACCCATTATCTAACTCTCAAGGGTCACTATCTGTTTTTCTATGCATGCGAAGAAAAAAATTATAGATAAGTCACTATCTTTTAATATATAACTATGTTTGTTTCTTTATAGTTAGTGGAGTGAGGAGAAAAAATAGTGTTTTATAAGTATACTTTTGTTCTATGATTTTATAACAAAGAGAGTGATTTATAACAACGTAATTAACGAGGATAATGGCAATATTAAACTATCGAGGGGTCGATAACACCAAAATTCTTAGGTCGTGTTCTGTAAAAATCTTTATATTTGTGAGCAACAATTCATACTATACTTGAGCATATTTAGATATGTCTAAGTTAATAAGCTATGAAGTACATCAGAAATTATACAGGACCATCGGATGGGGAAGACTCCATTATAGAGTCATTCATAATTTTATGGACTGACATGTGTCTATTGTGTATTTAAGCAGGACACGTGTCAATACATCGTTTGTAATAACTATGGATGACTCAATAAATCGAGTCATCGGTTGACTTCATAGCAAAACCATGAAATACATATTGTTTTGCATTTGTACCACTAAATTAATGTATCGAATTTATTTTGGATCCACGATATCGTGATTAACACATTAGCTTGCTTCAGGTCAACACCGTTGATTTTAATAGCGAGGTCGAGTTCTTTGTCTCATTATTTTTTTCCTCAAATTATGAAATTAAATTAAATTTACTTTTTCAAATTTTTTTTTTTTTTTTTCCAACGGCAACATTTTATTAAACTCAAAAGATACATAGTATTTTACATGTGATTACATGATTTTTACTTCAATTTCATTTTTCATGGTAAAACTCCCATGATCAATACTATTCAAGTATTTGACAAAATGTTTGATTATTAATTGTATGGCAAATTGGGTAGTCCTAAAACTACTACTAAATGAAACTAAAAAATGAAACATCGAGAAAATGGTGAAATATTGAGACCGTCGGGCTGCCACAGAGCGAGTATATATTAATATGAAATTTAATAACTCTCAATATTTATGTGTATATTTATTGCTTATGTAATGTACTTTATAATTTTTAATCAATCCATCAATAAACTTTTTTTTTTTTTTTTTGTTATAGTGTTGTATTATGTTGTTTTATAGAACATATATTAGTTATGTAGTAAACATTACTTAATCACATTAAAAGAATATCGAATAATGATTTTTCGCCTAATCTATCTACTATATAATTAGGCAACTCACTTGTCATTTTTAGAAAATTTTATGTGGGTCCTACTCTACTCTTACTATTTTAGGAAAGTCTCACATTTTTTTGACACGTGTTCTTTTTTATATTAATATTAACTACCTCAAATATTATTTTATTTATTTTAGCCATAACTACCCAACACCCCGTTATTTAATGATTTGACATGTGTTTATTAGTTTTGGCTCATTTTTACTTGAAAGGTACTTTTATAAAATTTTATTATATTTTTATTAAATATTTTAATTTAAATTAGTTATCTAATTTTCATATTTATAGTGTATAAATTAAAATAATTATAAGTGTCCGTATGCTTCTTGCCTGACTTTTATAAATTTTTTATCTTAAATTTTGTACATAAATATTAACTCTAATAGTAGTGAAAATAGATAAAAAATATATTTTAAAAACATGCACAATGAATAACACACAAACATTCTTCATAATAAATAAATAAATAATTAACAACATGTAGAATATTTTTTATTTCATTTCTACAACCTGCGAATTAAATCTAATAATAGCGAATTTAGATATAAAATGTTTTAAAACATGCCTAATGAATCACAAACATTATTCATAATAAATAAATAAATAAATAAATAAATAACATCATGTTTGTAGGACCAATAACATAAAGTTTTACCGATTTGGCTAAAGACTCCATTTGTAAGGACTCATTATTTATATTAAAGTTATTGAGTATTAATTTGTATGAATATTATACCTGAAGAAATATATATTTATTGCATGAATCGGTAATTATATCTTATTCATATAAAAAATATAATATATATTTTAGTTATTGAGGAGTAATTTATATGAACGTTATACCTAAATAACTCTGTATTTACTAGCACTGTCAAACGGGTCGGTCCGGCCCGGCCCGCTCCGGCCCGTGCTGGCCCGCGGTCCAAACGGGGCGGGCCAAAATGGCCCGCATTTCTGCGGGCTGGAAAATACATAGCCCGTGGCCCGCCCGCATTAGCCCGCGGGCCAAATTGGCCCGCCCGCGGGTTTTTTTTTTGTTTGTTTGTTTTTTTTTTTTATTATGGTATTTGCACTCTTATATATATTTTTTGGTTTGTTTATTCTTATATTTACTAGTATATTAATAAACTAGTAAGGTTTCATGTGTAATGATGTTAAATATTTGTCATCTAGTTTTTATTTTATTTTTTTTATCAATAGTTATAGGGTATTCACGCGCATGAACGACTTAATTGACATAAAATATTATTTGATTTATTAATATTTTTATTATGTAAAAAAAATATTTCATGTGCAAGATAGAAATTAGAAATAAAATAAAAAATACTACATTTAAATAATTTATAAAAAAAAAACGGGCCAGCCCGCGGGCCAAACGGGGCGGGCCAAATAGGCCCGCGATTGAATGGGCTGGCCAAGCAAAGGCCCAAGCCCGTCCGTTTAAGCGGGCGGGCGGGCCAGCCCGCGGGCCACTGGCCCGTTTGATAGTGCTAGTATTTACGCATGACCAACTTTATGTCTCATGTTCACGAATTACAAATGGGAAATGATTGAAAATATTAAAATATGTGATGATAAAAATACCTCAAAGACGAAGAACGTTGTATATAATGAAGTGTTCAATATATTTCATCGTTATGCATTTGTATAAATTGCAAACGCTCTTGTAATTTTTTTTATTTTTTTTTCGTAGCTCCCGTGCATTTGCACGGGCTAGTTATTTATAAGAAACATACCCCAACTATAGTTATATTGCTGAAAAGTATTGTTTCAAACATGGACAACACACAAATTATTCAGATATCAGATAATCTTTTAGGAAAATGTTGTGGTCCCATTATGAAGTCATTTTGTCGGAGTATGTGACCGCTAGATCACCGTGTAACCGTCGGAAATAGTTGAAATAATGGTTACAAACTCCAATAGAATGGTTACGAAACGGGACTGTAGCATCTTCCAATCTTTTTTATACACAAAATTAAAAGGTTGATATATTATAATGCA